TTTTTTTTGGAGTGAAATATGACCTAGAAGTTTTCTTGAAATTGAGGCATGAGCTCAGGAGCAGTTATTAACACAAGACAACTATATATAGTGAAATATTAAATATTTCAATATAATAGCTATTTACAATCTGAGCTTTGAACAGCATTCACCGCTAAGCAGCAGTAATCAAGAGTTCGTTAATGACCGGTTAGCTTATGGCCTTTATGGATTCCTCTGTCATAATTATCTCAAACTGCACTATAACTATATACTATATATACATCGATGAACTGGAAAACGGTAATGAGACGCATTCAAACCTCAAACTGAACTTTCACCTTCTTCTCAACACGAGCTCTTCATGAACTCAACAAACACGCGTCAAATATTTGCACAAACTCTGATGCACCAAATAATGTGTTCGTGATGCAATACAGTCCTAAAGTGTCCTTTGGAGAAAGAAAGCATGTGTTGCACTGAAGATGATGCAATGTCTGCTGATTAAATGAACAGGACAACATCAGCAACATTCAACCACCAAAATGCAAACGCTGCTTTAAATCTGCCTTCATTCGTTTAGTGCTCGCCTTTTCGACTTTAACTATTAACTCTGTAAACGTGGACGTCGCACCAGAACTGTGCACTATTTTCACCAGTGTTATTTTTATACAGAATTTTTAAGCTTTGTTTAAATGTTAATACATAATCGTTGTAATAAAGTTGTACATATTTTGGAAAATGCAGACGCTGGAGATTTTATTGTGATTTTTTGTACACTAAAAAGCTTTTTAGCACAGCATTTCTACTCCGTTTTGCTGGTTTAAATTAATGTGTTTAGGCTGATTTGGTGATATTTTGACCATTACTTTAGATGCTACAATCTCTTGCTTTAATCATTTTGCTCTAAAACAAAGTCAAATCTCAAGAAACGATATTTGTAATGGTTGTTGTGACGCTTCGAGGGTAAAAACAGCAAAAACGTGATGTTCCTACAGCGCAAAACAACACAAACGCCACTAAAGAAATGAAAACTCACCCAGTATGCTTGGTTATTTAACAATAAATCGTATGTGGAACAAGAGATGCTTAGTATATAATTTATTTGCTTGTTTTTGACCAGTATTAATGTGTTAACCATCTTATGATCCGATCCAATTCAAAATAAATCCACAACAGAAGGTCTTTCTGAACAGAAAATGTTTAATTGTCATGAAAATAATATTGTAATGTTATCTTAATCATCCTAAAAATGTATTTTCTTCATGTAAAATATATTTCCCCATTTTTTAGACCCTAGAATTCAAAAACATACAATGTCTGGATGCTTTGAAAATGTATGACAAAAATGTGTCATTAAAATAATATAATGTTTTTTTTAAAAGATCCTAAAATTCATTTTCTTTATAAATTCTATTTTTTAGAACCTAAGAGAATTATAAATAAATAATGTGAAATGCCTGGATGCTTTGAGAATTTATTCTTAAAATGTGTTTAATTGTCATTAAAATAATATAACGTTATCATAATAATCCTAAAAAATATTTTTTCTTTATGCAAAAAAATATATATGTTTTTTATTTTTAGAACCTGAATTGAAAAGAGTAAATGTCTGGATGTTTTTGAAAATGTATGGCAAAAATATTTAATTGTCATTAAATTATGTAATAATTTATATCATTATATCATATATATATACAACATAATAATATCATAATGTTATCTTATTGATATTAAAATTTATTTTCTTTATGCAAAATATAATTTCTGAGAATTATTACTGTAAAAAAAAACATTTAAAAAGATTAAAAAAATACAAAATGTCTGGATGCTTTGAGAATTTATGGTGAAAATGTCATTAAAATAATATCATAATGTTATCTTAATGATCCTAAATATTTATAAATCCTAAAATTGATCCAAAATTATAGATCCTAAAAATTTATTCTTTATGCAAAATATAATTTCTATTTTTTAGAACCTTAATGAATTATTACGGTTGAAAAAAAGAATGAAAAAAATGTCTGGATGCTCTGAGAATTTATGGCGAAAATGTGTTTAATTATCATTAAAATAATATTTTGTTGTCATAATGATCCTAAAAAATATTTTTTCTTTATGCAAAAAATATTTTTTTATTTTTAGAACCTGAATTGAAAAGCGTAAAATGCTTTGAGAATTTATGGCCAAAATGTTTTTATGTTTTTTTTTATAAATTTAATTGTCATTAAAATAATATCATAATGTTATCTTATTGATATTAAAATTTATTTTCTTTATGCAAAATATAATTTCTGTTTTTAGAACCTAGGAGAATTATTATGCTCAATTAAAAAATAATAAAAAATTAAAGAAAATAATGAAAAAAAAACATAAAATGTCTGGATGCTTTTGAGAATTTATGGTGAAAATGTGTTTAATTGTCTTTAAAATAATATCATAATGTTATCTTAATAATCCTAAAATGCAAAAAATCATTTCAATTTTTAAAAAATTATAATTTTTGACATCTGAGCTGAAATGGTTGTTTTATGAGATCCACCCATTTCTATATAACTTCAGAATAAATCAAAAACAGAAGCTCTTTCCGAACACTTTTCTGTTTTTATTGTCATAATTCTGAAATACAGAATTTAAAGGGAGAAAAAGCAAGTCACTCTGGCTATGGATGTGGTTTTATGACTAGTCGTCTTCATCATAGACATTACAAAAAGGAAATATTCACACAAAACTGAGAGCTCTCATATTAAAATCATATTTAGCGAGTGTAGGAGAGTTTTCAGAAACAGAGAACATGAGGAGAGTCAGACGACGAAACCGAATGAATCATGAACATCCATGAGCCTGTTTCTCTTTAATTAAAGGACTAGTTCACCTACGAATGAAAGCTCTGTCGTCATTTACTCTCTCTTTCTTCTGAATGAACACAAAACCAGAAGTTTAGCACGATATTCACAGCTCTGCTTTCTATACAGCGACAGACAGTTCAGATAAATGAGAGCTGCAGTGAAGAGAATACTTCCGATGCATAAATTCAGTTTCTTTTTCCTTTTAGGAGTCACATTTGCTCTCATTTTATGGAAAATAACTGCATGAAAACATGACATGAAGGTGAGTAAATGACCAAATGATCATTTTTGGGTGAACTGTCTCTTTAAGTGTATTATTTTGAGTCAGTAAACAGGCCGTGAAGATTCATAATAATGCATGCCTTCAGAAATGATGAAGAATAATATAACATCAGTCTTTTCTGTTCCGCGTCTCCTCTGGAAACCTTCTTTGCGGCCCCTCGTGGAATTGAAATAATAAGAAAATAAAAATGAATAAATATATATAAAATCAAACATTAAAATGTGTGTACGTGTTCCCGGTTCTTTTTCTTCTGCCCGGCTCTTTTAGTCGAGAGCCAAAGCCACAGTCCATATAAAATTACCAAACCACGGCGTGGGGCGGGACGGGATGCACATTTTTTAAACATATGCATTTTTAGCTCCTCTTTTGTTCTGTTATTAAAAGCAGTTTTGGAGAAATGGCAGCGGAGCTCCACCCGAGCTGAGACTGGCACACACACACACTCACTCACTCACACACACACACTCTCACACACTCTCTCACACACACGCATGCGCACACACACACACCTCTGAACTTCCTCTATCTCACACACACACTCTCACACACACACACATACACGCACACACACACACACACACACTCTCTCTCTCTCTCTCTCACACACACACACACACATACACGCACGCACACACACACACACACACCTCTGAACTTCCTCTATCTCGCAAACACACATACACACACACACACATGCATGCATGCTTCGGAACAATGGAAAGGGAATTGCGTCGCATTTTGGAGAGAATTGCATCCAGTTTTATTTCTCCAATAAAAGGCGACTAATGGCTGAACCGTTTGATTATTGAGTGACACATACAGCTTTATTTGACAGCGGTTTGTCTTTTGTGTTTTTGTGCATTAAATCTGCACGAGCTCTCAGCGGGGAATAGTTTGAGATAAAAACAGTTAAAAGGCACTAGGGATGAAATCGGAAGACACACTCACTCACTCACTCTCACACACACTCTCACTCACTCTCACACAGACACACACACACACAGACACACACACACACTCACTCTCACACACAGACACACACACACACTCACTCTCACACAC